CAAACTAATATACATCAGAGGCACCCTGCTGCGTCGGCATGAACACAGCCCGCTGCAGGGGGGAGCGGGAGCGGTGCACCAGCAGCCGCTGTCAGACAAAGGGCACAGCGGTCCGTGCACATCAGAGGCTCCAGCACTGTGCACGAGTCTGCAGAGGAGATGTGGCATTGATGATGAAGCAGGAAGAACTGAGAGGGACTGTGCAGCTTCAGTTTCCTGTTCAAGCCACATACAGATCCGCTACAGACAAGGACAGCAGGTCTTGAATGTGACTCGGATCCAGATCAGACTTTGGTGTATGGCAGATTTTATGGCGATGTTATTGTGCAGCTTTTGTCAAGGCCCTGAAGGCGCTGTGGACGGAGTCAGAAGCAAACAGACTGAAACTGGAACTGCCTCACAGCAGGTAAGGATTAAAACTAATTCCCAGATCGGGACAATGATCTGGATCAGCACCAGAATCCACAGACTGTTCCGTGGGCCATCCCCTACCTCTCCAAAACATTTTCATCCAATAAATAAGTCAACAAACATGGGTAAAAACACAGCCTGCTGACATCTGTTGACACCAGCCTCCACCTGGCAGAGGTCCCAAATCATTCTAAATACATTTAGTGAAAACAGAGTTTAATACATAACCAGACGTACGACAGCAGCTCAACAATAACAATCAGTGATCACCAGTAACTGCTGCTGTCCAAGCTCTATAGACTGCACTGACTCTTAAGTCAGGAACAAACAACAGGCCCACACACACAACCTTTACCTCCAGATGCCAGAGCAAAGATCCATGACCAGGTGAACAAAGCCAGAGGTGACCCAGGTGTTGCTGCAGCCATGAGAGCAGCCGTCGCGTCCGTGCTGACACCACAGCTGCTTGTCCTGCTGCTGTCTGCTGCATTTAACTGGCCCTGGACCCACCCACAGTCTGAGTGTGAGGAAGAGACGCCCCGAGCAGGGTGAGGCTGACATGTTCCTGGTTTACTCAGCATGAGAAGCAAATGTTGAAAGTCAGCACATGTGAACTTTAAGATGACAGCAGGTCGAGTTTAGAGCAGGAGTCTCAGACTCACAGTCAGAACTGAGGCAGGATGGAGCAGAGGCTCATGGCCATCAGCGCTTTGCATCTCAGCCTGGTTTTAAATAAGGCCCTAGTGATAATACATACGGAGACATGTTGTAAAGATCTTTTTGGCACCTTAAGATTTTGAGAGGACATTTGCAGAAGGTTAATTTATTATTAGGTGTCATGATATTTTTGGAAGGTTGCAACATTTCTGGAAAATCTTGTTCTCACCTCTTCAGACATGTGTTCCAGTGTGAAGGTCAACTTAGATGTGTGTAGAAATGGCTCTAGAAGATGAGGACATTTCTGGAGGTCAAGACATTGTGGACAATGACACCAGTCCAGACTGTGAGACAGATTATGTCGCTGAGGATCAGACAAAGAGGAAATTTTACACATTTGATGCAACTAAGTTTTCCTCTAAAACCACATTTAACATTTATACATTAAACATTGTACTTGAACATGAGATTATTTCTTTTATATTCATAGTGTTTTCCTTGGACGTGTTTCCAAAACAGCCACTTAGTTGATTAACCTCCTTTAGTTCAAAGGCTTCACACTGCAGAGTGAAGCTCGGTTCTCTTTTGGTAGACGTCAGCTCTGGGTGTCAGGGTGGTTTTTACCCTGCGGTGACTCTGGTAAGACGCCAACAGCTTTGTGGTCATCTAGTTTCCTCTTTCTGATGAAAACTCTTACTGCTCAATTTACAAGACAAACAAGGTTGAATATACATTTTTGCTACAAAATTAGATTTGAAGCAGGATGTAAAAGACCAGACTGACTTAAATATCCTCAATTGTTTCCTGCATCTCAAACTAACACAACAGATAGTCTGGTAGTAAAAACCACAGCAGCAGCTTCTTCCTGCTGGTTCCAGTGAACTGTACTGGTTGAGATTTCTGCTTACTCTATGTTTTATACCTCATGGTGACTATGTCAGCATATTTTATTAAAAGCGAGCAGCTCTGTGCTCGTCCAGTTCCTTATTTCTGATAAACACTGTTATATTTGGACTGTCATTCACAGCAGAGGTGTGAAGAAGAAAAAACTGTAAGAACACGCTACAATTTATAACATCAGTACAGTCAGTCTTCAGTTTTCCACTGTAGTGGTATTAATAAATACACTAACAGTCCTGGTCTGTGTAGTAGTACTGCAGTACTGTAACCTGAGTGTATTTGGCTCTGCAGACAATGATCCAGCTGCTGTCTATGCAGCAGTGAGAACAGAGGACGTCAGTTATGGACAAACAAGAGCAGAGGTATAGAGCCAGGATAACAGTTTCCCCCTGCTGCCAGTCTTTATGCTAAGCTAAGCTAACTACAGCCCGACTCCAGTGACAGGCAGACATCACACTGAAATTAAATGTCCCTATGACTAAACAGGAACCTACTGTAGCTTTTGTTTCACCAGATCATTCCACTCATGTTTTTATGTGCAAATTAGAAATGCACCTAAGAACAGAAACCCACCTGTTGTTGAGACGTCTCTGTTGGTCTTCAGGCCTGTGTAGAGGTCAGGAACATGTAGATCAGGGTGGGGAGGACCAGGGCTCCTGTGAGGTGTCTCACTGCTGTCAGGAGTGTCCAGCCTCAGTCTGAAGAGGAGGACTGTGGGACATGTTGACCATTCACTGATATCAGAGGGCTCATGGGAGTTTGTCCATCCAGTTGACATGTGTCCTTTGGGTGGTGTGGGACTACAGGGACCCATCCATCTGTGCCGTCCAGTTGGAGCAGTGTCTGTCTCCTCAGCAGCAGGATGAGTGTGTTTTCAGAGGGTGTTGGCCTCCTAGAGACCACAGAAAATGCTTATCTTTTATTACTGATCAATTATCTTCTCCTTTGGGTTGGGGCCTGACTGATGGGACCCAGCTGGACCTGGCCTGGTCCAGTCTGAGGCAGCTCATGCTGACAATGGGCAGGTAAAATCATGCAGCACGTGATATGTAAGATGTCTGATCTTCAGTCGTCAGATTCTCTGGTGACATCTGTGAAAATAAACGTCTTTGCCTGAACTTGGCTTTATCTTACAGAGCTGTGTCTGCCCAGTCCTGCACAGCTCTCCATCCAGGTCATGGCCACACTCAGAATGTTTTAATGCTTCTTGGGCATTTTAAGTGGAAATGTCTCTGCATAGGAGCAGTGTGAGCTGCTGGTTGTCGTCCACATTTGTCTTGGTACAAGGCCACAGAGACAGGTGGATGGTCATCCTCCAGAGCTCAGGTGGCTACTGAGCAGCAGATCGTTGTGTTGCTCGCTGGGTTTACTTGGCAGCTTTATGCTTCTTCCAGCCCATCAGAGACTGAGCAGTCTGAGCTGCTTTGCTTCCCCTGCCACAGGGACCCAGACCTGGATTAGCAGCAGTGAATGGGGGGAGGACTGGGTGTTGGTGAGATGTGGTCCTGGGCTAGTGTGGTTACACATGGTCTGTGGTTGTGAGGCCAGTTGGATGTACTACCAAATTCTCTGAAACACCTTTGAAGACGGCTTATGGTAGAGAAACATTCAATTCACGGGCAACAGCTCTGGTGGACATTCCTGCAGTCAGCATGCCAATTGCATGCTCCCTCAAAACTTGTGACATCTGTGGCATTGTGCTGTGTGATAAAACTGCACATTTTAAAGTGGCCTTTTATTGTGGCCAGCCCAAGGTACAATAATCATGCTGTCTAATCAGCATCTTGATATGCCACACCTGTGAGGTGGATGGATTATCTCAGCAAAAGAGAAGTGCTCACGTTTAGTCCCTGAACGGGGCCACGGGGGGCAGAACCAATCCCGGCCAGCAATTGGGCGAAGGTGGGGTACACCCTGGACAGGTCGCCAATCCAGCGCAGGGGCTTTGCAGGTTTATTAGCTACCTTTTGCTAGATGATGACCTAACTTTAGATAGGCTCCTTAAATTGGGAGGCATTTGAGCGTGTCCCTCGCGGCGTCCTGTGGAGGGTGCTCAGGGAGTACGGGGTCCGGGGCCCTTTACTAAGGGCTGTCCGATCCCTGTATGACCGGAGTAGGAGCTTGGTTCGCATTGCCGGCAGTAAGTCAGACTTGTTTCAAGTGCATGTTGGACTCCGGCAGGGCTGCCCTTTGTCACCGGTTCTGTTCATTATTTTTATGGACAGAATTTCTAGGTTCCTGGGGTGTTTGGCAGCCGAGTGTGAAGCGGCTGGGAAGAGAATCAGCACCTCCAAGTCCGAGGCCATGGTTCGCAGTCGGAAAAGGGTGGCTTGTTCCCTTCAGGTTGGTGGAGAGTTCCTGCCTCAAGTGGAGGAGTTCAATTATCTTGGGGTCTTGTTCACGCGTGAGGGAAGGATGGAACGGGAGATTGACAGGCGGATCGGTGCAGCTTCTGCAGTAATGTGGTCGATGTACTGTTCCATCGTGGTGAAGAAGGAGCTGAGCTGTAAGGCGAAGCTCTCAATTTACTGGCCGATCTACGTTCTGACTCTCACCTATAGTCATGAGCTTTGGGTCATGACCGAAAGGGCAAGATCCCGGATACGGGCGGCCGAAATGAGCTGTGCATTTTATAGTGTAATCTCTCTCTGTTGGTTACTGACTAGTTCAGAAAGGGACATGAAAAATAGAGAAGTATTGGTAGGCTAGTGGTTAAGGTGCGGCCCACGTTCGAATCAGGGTTGCATCAGGAAGGGCATCCGGCGTAGAACACGTGCCAAATGTCAACATGCGACTTGTCAGTGTGATGATTTGCTGTGGCGACCCCTAAACGGGAAAAGCCGAAAGTGACTTTCTTTCTTTCTGTTATGGATAATGAAAATTAAACAGCAGTAAGTAGCAGCTACTTCACTGTTCGGTTTTTGTTGAAGCAGTGTCATTTTCAGACTATAGCTACTTGTTGTGGGACGTCATATGAAAGATTTTGTAAAAAGTAGATTCATTAATATGTTGTCTCAAACCTCATCACAGACATATTCGAATTTAACTACAAAATAGTAAATCACAGACATAAAGCCACTTTAGCTGTATATTAATTGAAGTAATCATTTACCAGTCAGTAAGTCACAGACCACTACTGTCTGTAAAATTTTTGGAGAAGTTATTGCACATTTACCGGGATTTCTCCTCACACTTATTTTCATAAGTCCATGCTCACCCTAACTTGTCTGGTCTCTAGGAATATTCATCCAGAATCATGTGCTGTCTCAGATGCAGACAAGTCTGCTTCCCTGTTTAAGGAGAACCACACTTATCCACCTGTGTGCTTCTCTGTTTCCACTGTTTTTCCTGCCTAACTACTTGCTTCACCCTGCTGTTGTCCTCCTGGAAACAGGCTGGACCCTCTGCCCTTCTTGTCTGTCCCATTCTCCACAAAGAAATCTTGGCTCTAATTATCTGCCTTTTTACCTGAGTCGCCATCTTCTGGGTTCCCTCACCTAAGTCTGCTGGTTGCTCCTACTGGGCTTCCACAAACCACATATTTGTATGTCATACGAACCGTAAGGAGAGTCCAGAAGTCGAGTGCCCCCTTCCTGTCCAGTCACAATAGCCCAAAATAAATTTGCTGCTCAAAACATAGATTTGCATTACTGCATGAAACATATCACATATCATTAAAAAACTAGACCACTCAGAGTGGAACCTCTGTTTGTTTCCCCATGATGCCATAAGTGCCATAGTCCTATGACAGTCTGACCCTCATAATATGATCGTTTGACCATGAAAACCTACTGCTGGCATCTGGAATTATGCTGATATCTTTATTAGTTTGAAAGTTATTCAAGAAAAATAATAGACATGAGAGATATTCAGTCGTTGGTTTAGAAGTGAAAAGTGAAACAGGGACTTCAGTGAGTTGACCGCAGGCAAAATGGTGAAGACGTCACATTTCTGCAAGTTTGTGTTCTGCTTGTTCAGCTGCTCACACGGCCTCCATTATTGGCTGATTGTTGCACTGTGGAGTGACTCTTCATGTCCTGTGCTCTTCCTCTGCCCAGCTGTGAGTGTGTCTCTTCTAAACAAAGATTGACACAGAAAAATACAGTGGAGAAGCAAAGTAGGATGGGCTGTGTGAACCCATGAGGTTATGCCAGGTGATGATAAGGCGTACGTGCCAAATGTCAACATGCGACTTGTCAGTGTGATGATTTGCTGTGATGATTCAGTGGTTATTTGTAAAACTGGTGAAAAGCTCCATTAACTGTAACAAAACCTTTCCTTTAGGCCAATGCAATATTGCAGAATAAAAATACTGTAGCACAGCTCTAAAACTAATCATCACAACAGCACTGATATTTAACACCTTGTCACTGTTATTTTCTTGAAACATGTCTGTTTAGGAGATGAGAATATTTCACCCTTTTCCCAAACAAGTCGACCTGTATCAGAATTTTTCCATGATCCAATGCCATTTTCTTGATTCTAGAGCAGGGGTGGGCAAACTTTTTGGCTCAGGGGCCACATTGACTTTTAAAATTTGACAGACGGGCCGGGCCAGTACCAGATGCATACATATCAAACACAAACATATAAAAGGCATTACAGTGTTAATACTTGCATTCACTTTTAGTGGGAACAGTGTTGTTGATCACCTTTTTTTTGCCAGTGCATCGATGTCTGGTGTTAGTTTTGTTGTAGCAATTCTCAGAACAAATCTGAGGTGTTCATCACTCAACTAGGATCTGTGGGGGGCTTTGTTGGTGTTCATCACACTCAAAGTCTGTTCACACACATAGGTAGAGCCAAACAACACCACTCTGTGCCATCTTCTGGATGTTTGGAAATTTGGCTGTACTTAATGAAGCATAAAACTCATCCAGTTTAAGAGAGTGGAACTTCTCCTTTAAGATGGTGTCACATTGGAGATCAATCTGTTCCAACTGCAACTCCTGTGGCGCCGTTTCAGGGTCTTGTGTGAAGGGACATGACACCAGCTGAAGTGACTTGTCAGTTTTTCCAAAATCGGAGAACCAACGGCAGAATTCTCCGTGCAGGTCGTCCAGTGATTTCCTGTATTTTTTCACAGTCGAGGGGCCTCTAGCGAGTGTGGGGAAATGAGCGAATGACTTATTTGACATTTGCTTTGAGAATAAAGCTAGCTTGGTTTTGAAAGCTCTGACGTTTGTGGACATTTCGTGCACAAACTGATCTTTCCCTTGTAGCTTCACATTCAGCTCATTCATATGTGTCAGTATGTCCCCAGCAAAAGCTAAATCACAAAGCCAATCTGTGTCACCCAGCTCAGGAAAATCGTCAGCTTTCTCAAGTAGCTCCAAAAATGAGCTAATCTCCTGTTTGAGCTCCCACACTTGTTGACATACTTTCCCCAAACATGGGGAATAGATACAGTGTGCCCATCACCAGGCATTACAGGACAAGGTCAAATGAATGCAGTCATAAATATGATATGATTTGATTTGGGCAATCCTGTACCAATTTTCAGCAGGCCGGATTAAAAGGACCAACAGGCCAATGTGGCCGTAGGCCATAGTTTGCCCACCCCTGTTCTAGAGCAATGACTTATATTACTTCAAAATCTAGATACTTCTTTTAAGTTCTAGAAACAAAACTGTAATTAAAAATAGAATTGTTTCACTCCACTGGAACCTACCCTTTATACTCTTAATAGTAGAAGTAATAACCACTAATAGCAAACCTAATAACTTCTTTTTACTTTCAAAAGGGCAACCAGGTGTGTCATAATTGTCAGGTTTGCTCACCTCCCTCTCTTTGTTTTCGGATCCTGATTATGCCACATTGCACACCTGCCACACATCAACACCAGCTGCATTCACTTAGTCCTTCACCCTACTTAAGCCCAGCTCATACCTTTCCCTTACCAGTTCATCGGATTGTTACCTGTTTTTCCCCCAGTTCCTCGCTACACCTCTCCTGCTCCTCCTCACCACCGCAACCACGGACTACCATCTCCGGACCATACGCCTCGTCGCCCTTCCAGTCCCCACTAGTCAGGTCGATGCACAGTGCTACAAGTTGCCTCCACTCACAATCATCCTCTGCCTACCTAGTCTTCTCAGCTTAATTGTTTCCATCTCCACCGACCAGCCAGTGAGAGACCTTTTCTGTTCCGCAGCTCGGCCCACCTTCTCTGTTACCCACTAGTGACTTTCTCCGTGCTGATCGACACCAGGTTTTCATAGACTTTACCCTCAGTATGCTTGTCTTGTTTATCACTGCATTTGTAAATAAATGTACAGCACTGATTAAATGTGCTTGCACCAAAGTCAGTCCTCTGGGTCCATTCTTTTCCGCTCACTCACCTTGCCATGTGTGAGCGCTCCCGAACAATAATGCCCAGTAGTCAAATTCTTGTTTGTTCTTATTTGCTTGACTTCCTGTCAGCATTGACCAGATAGTGGTTTTTTTCACACTACAGTCTTGATTTTACCTTGGTCTCTTGTTAATTTTCTGACAGTATGACTATGTTGTCATGTACTAACTGCTTGCCATGTTTTTGTTTTGTGTTGATTGTACTGAACGTTTTTTTCTGTGTGAGTCATCTTACTTTAGGATTTCATTCTCTGTTTAAATCATTTGTTTGGTTTCTGCGTACTCTCAGATGGACACAGATGCAGACTGTGGATGCGCTTCTATTCATACTATCAGGTGTATGTGAATGTGGACATTCCACATATGCACACTAGAAAACTTTATGGAGCCCTCCTGACAGCAAGAAGATCCCCTTTGTCTTTGGCTAAACAAGCTCAAACTGACAAAAACCAAACTTGCACAGATCCACATGGACTTGGCAGATGACAAAATTGACATCACGCAGCCCCTTGTGGACATGGGGATGTAGACAGCATGAACTAGACGTGAGTCAACAGCAGAAACTTTACATTGGCGAAGAACATAAAGGTAGGATTTAGTGTAGGACTGTTACATTAATTAGGCTACTTTAAATTTAGCTAGGCAATGTCACCATCAAGTCACTTTTTTTTTTTTTTCAAATGACATCGATGGGCACACTGTATCTATTGATCAGAACAGTTAAGATGAAGTATCACTTCACACAGTCAGTAAATAGTACAGCTTTGATTTGGTCATAATGTTGTCTGTACAAACCTGAACTAAGGTCTGACTTTGTTTCTGTTATTCACAGTGTGTGCACACCTTATTTATATTATAATAGCAGGAAACTTTAGTCTGATTAGTGTTTCCAGTACAGAGTATTAGTAGCTCATTTATTCAACTCCCTCATCTCCATCCCAAAGAGTACAGGTTATGGATATGCTAATTCATATAAGACCTTCATTAATCCTTGCTGTGTAAGTGCTTGGCTGTGGTTTCATACAGAGCATGGCACATCCTGCACCTCAAACTCCTGCATGACATAACGTAAAATACGTGTTGTGAATTAGAATAGAATTTTTGTAAAACATTAAATACTCTGGATTTTTTTTTTATAATAGTCATTGTAGGGACTATCATACCATTCTGTTATAGCTATTCAAATATATATATATATATGAGTTATAGTTAAGATACTGCACACGACCCTTAAGCTCCCAGGCCTCTAGTAGAGGACCCGAGCTTGAAGGAAGGAATAAGACCGCCCTGAAGTGGAGTGAGTGGGGAATTACATAAACTTACTTTGAAATCATTAAAACAGATTTTTTTTTTTTTTTTTCACCACACCACAGATGTGATAACAAATTCTCATGTACTTTGTGCAGGACACAAGTAATTTCTCCAGTTGCTTGCAAATAGATTATTTCACTTATAGTTCATCACAATTCCAGTGGGTCAGAAGTTTACATACACTCAGTTGACTGTACCTTTAAACAGCTCAGAAAATTCCACGGGGTTGGCAGCATCATATTGTGGGGGTGCTTTGTTGCAGGAGAGACTAGGGCACTTCACAAAATATATGGCATCATGAAGAGGTAAGATGATGTAGATCTATTGATGCATCTCTTGACATCAGCCAGGAAATTAAAGCCTGTCAAATTCTTTCAAATGGACAAATACCCAAAGCAGATTTCCAAAGTTTTGGCAAAATGGCTTAAGGACAACAAAGTCAGGGTACTGGAGTGGCCATCACAAGGTCCTGATCTCAGTCCAATAGAAAATTTGTGGGCAGAACTGAAAGCGCGTGTGCGGAGGAGGGCTCCAAACCTTACTCAGTTCCATCACTTCTGTCTGGAGGAATGGGATAAAATTCCAGCAACTTATTGTAAGAAGGTTGCGAAAGGCGTCCGCAAGTGTTTGACCCAAATTAAACAATTTAAAGTCAATGCTACGAAATACTAACTGAGCATATGTAAAGTTTTGACCCTTTGAGAATATGATGAAAGAAATAAAAGAAGAAATAAATCTTTTTCTCTACTATTATTCTGACATTCCACATTCTTAAAATAAAGTAGTGATCCTAACTGAGCTAAGACAAGGGATGTTTATAGGGTGAAATGTCAGCAGTTGTGAAAAAATAAGCCTATATATATATTTGGCTAAGGTGTCTGTATTGTATAAATCTGTGAGGAGTTTGATGAGGTTTTATCTCAGAAAGTGATTAGGTGATTTATGGTTGTTTAGTAAAGAATCAAAGGCTTCAGTTGAGAAGATCCTTTTGGTCAATATTTCTTTTAAGGCAGAATAATAAAACATGCCTTTTCTTGTCAGTTCCTTTTGCCATTATATGCTGGTTGAGATATAGGAATTATGGGATCATTCACAATATATCAAGGTATTTATGCCAAACATGAGTTAAGTGATATTTGCAAGAAGGTTTGTTTTGTCTTGAAAATGTAACTGATGGTCAAACAGGTATGAGAAATTAAAAAAATCTGCTGAA